TCATGCAGAGCTAGGCAAAGACAAAGCAAGACCCAATTTGGGCCCCCAGGGCCAGTTGGTCACATAGGCCCAATCTGGGTGCAAGGGGCTGGGTGAAGGAAGCGCCAGGCCTGATCTAGCCCGCAGACTGGCCCACTCATCTGGCCCAGAGGGCTAAAAGATTGAGCACCACTCAATAAATTCATTTAAAAAAGGAAGAGGGCTGTTATTAACTGTAGGGCACAGAGGGTTTAGCAGAGGGAGCAAAGTCATGCAGGCTGTAAGGGCTGGAGTCAATACTGCTCATCAGAAGCACTGCTCATGCAGGGACAGCATTCAGCATGTCCTTATCACCCCGTGGATGAAATGGTTATGGAGACGAATCTCCTTCCTTGTGCGCAGGAACCAGGGCAACTCCCACCAGAGCCCCATCCCTGCCATAAACTATGCACTTGATGCAGAAAGTCACTGTCAGCAATAGATTAGCTTCCAGGGGGTTCAAGGTGAAATATTTTGGTGGAGTCCAGTGGTGGAGAGGAATTTGTTTGGCCCCTGCTCTGGCTGGCTCTGTGTTGGGTAAAAAAAGAGCCTGTCAGTTTAAGAGGACAGAATTCACCTGCACAATGAGGGAGCTTAATGCAGTCAGATAATCTTCCCTGTCATGCAGGGCTCTGGTTTAGGTAAGCGGCCTCTTTCTGTTATGGTTTGTATTATGTTCATTGATGCCCCACTGTTTCAAGTGCCGTCCAAGCACACAGTGAGATGTTTCCTGTCCCAGTGAGCTCACAGGTCAATAGACTGGGATAGAGACAGGGAGGAAAGGTAACTTGGCTGAGGACATGCAGCAGGTTAGTGGCAGAGTTTGGAATAGACCATCTGGAGATCTCCCAAGTCTTGGACCACTGCACTGCACTGACTCTAACCCATCACTATTAAATTCCTGCAGATCTGTGACCAACACCTAGGCAAATCTCAGGGTCAAATGCTTTGTGTTTACTTGGTAAGGGACAAAGGGTTTGCTTCCCAAAACCAAGGTGCCCATTATGGATCTAAAGATGTCTGTCTTGATTGCAGGAGAAACCCTCGTGTCGCAGAGCCCATACAGCCTCCTGTGGTTCCTGAAGGCAAATTGTCAGCTTCAACCTCCACATTATCTTTAACATCGCTCAGGTAGGTGTCTGAGTAGCTTGGTATAAACTGTCCATCCTAACAGGGGACAGGTGACTTGCACCTCAAGGAAATGTAGAGGTGAAGTGACCTGCAGCCCTGCAGCAGAGTTGAGAATGGATCTGAGGTCAGGGGGAGTCTCATGTTTGGGATATTTAATTGGCACTGTTAAGAAAAACCCGTTCCACAGAGTGAGTCTTGTGAAACGCTTCATTTGACTTGTTTTGGGTGTTTTTTTTGCAGCATTTCCCATCATTTTCTGTGAGAAAAATTTTGAAACTAAAATTTGTGTTTTGAGTTGAAGACACAATTTCAGTTTTTGAAACCAAAATATTTATTCTATTTTGTTATTTTTCCAAGATTTGGTGGAATCTTTCCAGTAGCACAATACGAGGTGGGCAAGTGGGATGCCCTGGACACCACTTTAGAGGAGGGGCACTAGAAGGACAGGGGTGGGGGCACCTCATCCTTTCCTCCCGTGCCCCCCCACCACTCTCCAGCTGCAAAGAGCAACCAGGGCAGGTGGTGTGTGTCATGAAGAGCAAGGAATTTGGGGAGTTGTAGGTTTCTAGAGTAGCAGTGACGTTTGTGGCAGCTGGGGAGAGAATTAATCCCGTTTTCCTACCAAAATCAATTTATTTTTTACCCTCTCAAAATGGTCTTTGGTGGTAAAAAAAAAAAAAAAAAAAAAAA